AGTAATCACGTCTACTATGTATATATATATTTTTATAATCATTAAGAATAACTTTAACTATTAACTTGTTTCAATACTTCTTAAATTATTTGGTTAATATTTTCTTAGATTTACGCAAATATTTGACATTTTAAATAAACTATCATTTTAGATTTTTCACCGATTTATTTTGATTTTTGGTTCCCGACGTTTGAATGCGATGTAATTCGAATGTCGGTAACAAATATATAACGCCTTTGATACGTCTAAAACCAGCCTCTCCCGTGACCACGATGTCTGTAAAGTATTGGAAACGTCAGGAACCAAAATCAAAATAAATCTGTGAAAAAACCAAAATGATAGTTTTATTTAAAATTATTCGATTATTAAAATTGAACAAGGACCAAACTTCACAAGTAATTATTATCAGATATTTGCAATAATGCTAATGAGATTAAGGAAATCTGTTGTACCGAAACAAAAAATACCTTATTCTAGTTTCAGTCCCATACAGCATACTCTATTTATTTTAAAAACACATCAATTTATTTCTACATTAAGGAAGGACAAAATATACAAATATCTGTATTTAAGTTTTTATTATACGCTTATTGTATTATGTATGATGTGGTCAAGTCTGCGAATTTAAATGTAGGCTGTAAACTCCGAAACTGTGAATCTGATTCCACAAAATAATTTTATTAATAGGAAGCCACATTATTGTTCAAATTGCTAAAGATTATGTCGATAAAAAAGCAGAGTATAAGTAATATTAGTATTGCTTCTATATTATATAATATGGTTGTTTTTTAATAAATTAGGGATTTTTCTACGACTAATAATTTATTAATATACTGAACTAGCGACTTACCCTCGCTTCGATCGGGTTCGTCCCTATGTTGCTTCCCCATACAAACTTTCATCCTTATTTTCACACTCTTAACGAATGATTTCTGAGGTAAAAATCTATCTTATGTCCTTCCCAGGGTCTAAAATTATCTTCTTATCAAATTTCATCTAAATTGGTTCAGTAGTTTCGGAGCTTATTCGGTACAAACAAACAAACAAAATCTTTCCTCTTTATAATATCAGTATAGATTCACATATGACTTCATGAAATTATCAAATTATATTTAGTCAAAATTAATAGTTCAGTATAAATATAGACCTTTATCATATATCTTGTCGTTTAACAGGAAATTGCTATAATAAATAATCAAACTAATTTAATTTTTTCAAAGCCAAATGCTAAATTCGTTGCACTTAAATCTAAATCATTTAATCTTTACGAGCTAGTTGTAAAATCGAAATTTTTAGACGAATACTTTTAGAACTTATCAAATACTAAAAAATAATTTATAACATATGCATTTGCACACGTTTCCTTCATTGCCTCGATGAATTTATGATATAAAATATAATCAAATCGTGAGATCATTAAACATATTTCAATATAAACACCTGCATAAGATACTTCACAGCGACTCATTTTTGCTTTATTCTGGAACTGCACCCTGCGCTAAGAAAACTCATATATATAAGTATAGTATTAATTTGATATATTTTCTGCTATTGATATCAAAATATATAAATGTGTGTAAAGTACACTAATATTTCTCTCAAAACAAACTAATATGTAGATAGAATAAGAAGGGCTAATAAAAATGCAAATTAGTTTACCGTATAAAAATCTATGTCACTTTTTAGAAATAAAATGAAACTATATTTAATTAGATTTATACAAACACTTTTGAATTATCAATTTATTTAGAGTCAGTCATCATTTATATATTAAGAACAAAAAAGGATCGAGAATAGATCCTTGTGGAACACCCATCACGTGCAAGTGTTATTATGTACACATTGTGTTGAAGTAGTAACTTATCGGATTCAATTATTCATACCAATATCAATAAATAATAATTCATTTGTTTTTTTTATATTGCAAGATAAATAAATTATGTGTAGGCTTCATTATAGCAGATAACTACGTAATAAATATATTATTAGAAAAAATATCTTGTGGCAACTGGCGTACAATAAAATACAGTGAAATGTTAGAATATATGGCTTATGTAGTCTATTCAAATTATACCATATTTTCATCACATACGTAAATTTGCGTTTGTAAATCCGTTATGGCAACCTATCTATTATTAAAAGCCTGATATATTTTTTTTAATATTTTTTTATGGGTGAGGTTGCTCTTTATTCGGTATTCTAATTCAAAAACTATATTTTTATAAGCAAATAAAAAAAATGTTGTTTATGCTCATCATGCAGATCTCCATCATTTTGAACCCCTCTGCAATTTTCTCAAGTTGCTCCCATGGCACCACTTGAAGTAATGCTGCACTAAAGAACGCAATCTGCATTCTTTGTTTTAAAATCTTTTTAATTTCGCTGTCTCTGAAGCGAACTACTACTGGAATAACTAGAGATAGTTATTTAACTTTAGCATAATTTACTCTTTTGTATTCTAAATAACATTCCTGTAAATAATAATTAACAAAAAAGGTGGGCGTCATATTTTTTATTACCTGCCAAAATAACGTTATATCTGATTTTTTCTTAATTTTTTTATCTTTATACAGCTTCTCGTGCTTTATTCATATCTCTATTACCAATTAAAAATTAAAAAGTTTACGAGTGAATGAATGATTGTTAGTACTTGTTCATTATTACAGCTCTATGGATTTGAGTGACATTGACAGTTACAGACATTTAGGTTATATTTTCTGTGTTCACAGTATATATTTTTTATGTACTAGATTAACACATAGGCTACGTCTCTTCGACGTACACATGCACGGGGCGGAACGCGGGCAAATACTAGTATGTTTCATATTTTTTTAATATGGGATCTTTCAATGTGCTCAACACTATTTCATAGACATACCAACTTAATAGAGAGGAACATAAGTTTTTCTTTGGACCGCTGCGGCACTTGGGTCCCGAGCAAATATTGTATATTGCAAAATTTTACTGAAAAACGGGTCGACTATGGTTTGGTTCTAAAACAAAATGAATGCTAGTAATACAATAATTAGAATATTAAAATGGAGTTGTATTATATTAATTATAATGTAACCGGTTAGCAGTTTGATAAAAAAATTGAACGTTACTATTGTAACTAATGAACTTTAGAATTATCATTGTTTATATGTTGAGTTTCCTGTGAGCCACTTCCTCTCCACATCAAAGTTAAAAATTTTAAATAAAATTTATTACACCGCGTATGGGTGGTTTGGCTGAAAATTGAAATAGCACACACCATCATAGATAAATTCTTATAATAATAAGCCTTTTATTCCGAACAGTAAATGTGTGTGAGACTTTTAAAAGATATGTTTTTTATATAAATTCTTAAGAAAAATAAATTCTCTTATTATTTTTCTTATATTGATGTAATTATTAGTTAAAAAGTCGTGTTTATATATGTATAAACAGGTACATACCAACATATAAGTTTGAGTACTTTGTTAAAACTTAACACTACGATTATAAATGCAAAAGGTTTTATTACTCCTTGACGCTGAAATTTCTGGTTGGATGCATTTGGATGACTGAATTAGTAATACATAGGCATATTGATAGTAATAAAATTTGCAAAAAGGTGATCTTTGATGATGTCTCTCGAAAACTTGCTAGGTTTTCTTAATAATGCAAGCTGCAAGCACAACTGACCTCACAATTTTCTTCTTCACAAGTGGTAATCATTCTGGAAATGATTCGCACATGCGAATATCAGAGGTGTGAGACCGGGATTTCAACCCGCTTCACTCGGTTTCCCGAACGATATAATACACAAGGAACCTAGGAACAGGAAACGAGCAAAGAAACGGCATGTCGCTAGTAATCAATATTTTATTTCTGAGAGAAATGGTACAATTGGTATAATTATTTTATTTTTAAGTCGTCACTTCTTACCTCCATGAATGGAGTTACAAAGAATCACTTTATCGGTGTTCATTCAATCATGGCAGACGATCGTCGCGCATTGTTAGCATTTCAATATACGCGTCGATACTTTTTGCCTGGTTAAGAGTAATTGAGCGTGAAGAACGAGATCAAATATACTGTTTTTGTCTTTATCAATGATATAAAAAATGAATGAAAAAAACTTTTGATACGATTGAAGTATCTTTAGGTTATTTTATTGTAGCTACTTTATACTGAACTAAATTCATACAGTGTAAAGGCTATATATTGCCTATAATATAGTACCTACATGTAAAAACTCTGATTGTTTGTCAGTTTGTACACATTAATCTCAAAGACTCAAGTGAGAATGAGAAATGCTATTTCTATATATTGAAGTGCCTTAAAAAGGAGGAGATTGAGAAATGTTTATCTGTATGTACTTTTTTTATATACCTGCATATTGTGTACGTTTATCTGTTGTCGGAGACGGCTTGAGAATCTATACATAATATAATAAAATTGTAACTAAGCCGTATCTGTACATTAAATATTTTTTGGAAAATCTTATTGAAATAAACATTATTATCGATGGAGAGCCCGAATCTATAGTTTTTAGAATTTTTGTCTGTCTGTCTGTCTGTCTGTTACCGCATCACAAAAAATCACTGGAGGGATTTTGATAAAATTTGGTATTGTGATAGCTAGTTATCCGGGTCAACATATAGGATACTTTTTGCCGCGGGAAAATATCTCATTTCTGAGAAAAAATTCATAACTGCAATGTAAGAGTATATTAATATGTAAAATCTAAGAATTTGGTTTTTGGTCGTCTGAACGCGGAGCCGCGGGCAAGTGTGTTAATATCCCAACATATTTATATTGGATTCTTCAAGAGTATCTTTGGGCTTAAAGGACTCAGTCAAATCTAATCATACTTTATTCAAATAGACTTTTACAAGCAATTTTTTTTATTTAAATTAAATGTCAGTATGTGAGTCAGTGAGAAATCTACCGCCTGACAACATTCTGAACTGACAACGCACGCACTACTTCATTTATGACAATGTCATGGCAATTTACCATCAGTATAGGTGATAATGCCCCAAGATACCTATAGGTATAGGTTACTATGACCAAAAAAATAACCACATCGTTTTTACTTTAACGTTTACGAATTACGATTATAATTTTTCTTACTACTTACCTTTTTTAGGTGTGCATTTATGAAGTCTGTTTATAATAATAAAGTTAATAATTCTAAATAATGATGTCAACTTCAGTTAATGTTGAGGAAAATGCATGTTTTTACACATGTACATAAATGTTATTCGAGATATTAGGTACATACAAACAATATTATATAATATATTTACAAGTTTAAAATAGTTACTCAAGGCACTCCTTTAGATAAAAGTAGAAACAACTAAAAAACTTCCATATTGGATTACTATTATAAGTGCGAAATTTTGTTTATGTGTATGTTTGTTACGCTTTAATGCTGAAACGGCTGGACGAATTTAGATGAAATTTAGTACACGAATAGAAGTTGTAAACTTGAGTAACCATTTGGGCGAGTGTTAGGCATCTAGTGACGTACCCGAGTGAAGCAAGGAGATACACTAGTGATGTGCATATATTAGTAAAAATATTGTAAAAAAAATTCTTCTTTACAGGAAAACCTGCAAGTCGTGTGGTTGTGACCGCCTGCAGCACTCGGTGTACCACGAGGAGCTCGGGTCAGTGCGCGACCGGCTCGGCCTGCGCGACACCCGCGACACACGCACGCACCACTCCTATGATAACAGTCCTCCTGGACTCACTGCTAAACAGGTGATTTAGAAATATTTCTTATATCCAAAAAGTTCACACATAATAATAATATTGTAGTCCTGAACGATTCCGGTCACGGCGGCCTATCTTAGTAAGAAACCATGTGCCTAGTAAATATGCACGATGAACTGATAAACGTGCTAACTCTAAACACAGGTTAGGTGGAAGAACCATTCACTTGGCCGGTTGACGCGTTTCTTCGCACTTGGACAAACCGGGACTCGAACCCAAAACTTATATTTTCCTTTGTTATATTTATTATACCCTCTCATCGGAGTGTCCCCAGACACTTGACCTGAGCTTGTTCACGAACTGTAAATACTTGGTCATCAAATGACCTTCGAGGACACTATCGATCTTTTCTTCGACCATTTTCTTTATATTTCCCATCATTCATTCATAATTCATATCTTATTTCTGTTATGTTTTCTATTGTGTCTGTTATGTTTTCGAACCATCTAAGCAAGCCTCTGCAATTTCTAAAGTACGGAACGAGAGCAGTTTTAGAAAAGAAAAGTAATTTGCCACAATACATTCTAAAAATAAAAAATATATATATATTTACATTTTTGGCATATCTTAACACCTCCAAGTAAATTTCTAAGAAATTAATTAAATTTCTAAGAAATCTAGTGTTAACTGTAACACCAGCGTGTCCGCGGTCGGGGACGGATTAAAATTTGTTAAATATTTAAAAACTTTTAAAAATTTAACGAGAATATGATAGCTTTAAGAAGATTGTTAGCACACTTAAAACAATTTGTTATCTGATAGCACTGAATAAACTTAACAACTTCTTGGAGACTTCTTCAACTCGAAGAAATGATAACGAACACGAGAGATAAAACGAAATTTAAGGACTAAGTTAATGGGGTGATAGTGATAATTACAACAGCGATTTACCTAAATACTGATATCAATAATTTATAATATATTTAATCGCTTATTATACGATTTTTACGTAACACTGTGATGCATTCATGTTCATACAATATATAATTAATTAATATTACCTGATACATATTATTCGTTATACATTTTATTATAATGATAACAGCAAAAATTAAATAAATAATATTCCATATTTAATTCAAATTATAAAATTTTTTTAAAGTTATAAAATATTGTAAGGTACTTGGTACAATTTTCATTTTGTTATTGTGAGTAGGCTGTCTGTAACAACTATACTATACCTTCGAGACATCTAACACCTCAGTCTCTTCCGTGACCATGATTGCTGTAAAGCATTCGAAACGTCGGAAACCAAAAATCAAAATAATTCCGCGAAATAATCCGAAAAGATAGTTTTATTTAAAATGTCAAATATTCGCGTAAATCTAAGAAAGTACTAAAAAGTATTATTATTACATGATTTATTTTATAATTTAAATGTCTAACGTTGTTATATTTGTTGTTTTTTTGTAAATATATTATTTCTAATCTTAATTTTGTGAATGACGTAAAGAGTACTTTCTTTCTATGCTTTCCTCTCGTTACTGAGCGACTCTATTTTTGTTAATTTCAAAAGTGTTATTAGTATAACATAACATTAAGGTTAAATTATTATCCTGTGGGAACTCTTTACTGGGATAACAAGTTTCATCCAAATCTGAAGTCACATATATTTATTTCAGAAATGTTCACGTTCAATTTACAAGTATTTATGTAGCTGTAATAACATTTACAGACTGAACTCTACTGGTCATCCCTATCAGAACGCGCACCAAATGCGGTAGGTGGTGTCACCGGCCCCGCGGCCTGGCGGGCTTGGAGGACTCGTGCGTTGGCAGCACAGTTGCCTAAACAAGACTTGTCCTTAGCACACTGCAAGAACATAGACGAACCCCATCGCAAGCAGTTCGAAGATTTCGTTTCAGCTAGAAATGAAATTGCATTAGATATTGGTATGTAGCGCCATCTTGTGTTGAATAGCTAGTTTTCCCTAATGTAAATTCTTTTTCGACGGAACATTTTAACGGTTTAGAACGTGAATATAAAACACTAGACGTAAATATAAATTTTATTTTAGGACTTGCATGTCAACATCATGGACAGTCCATTGAATGCATGGGATGTACTAAGACGATCCGCAATGGAAATATTGCAATTCAAGCCCCTCGAATTGGTGAAGAGGTAATGATTTTCATTTTATTTTAAATTAAACCAACGCCATCTATCGAGAAGTTTTGAAACATTAACAGATAACTAACGTAAACCTTCTTAACAAGTTCCGCTACTAGGCGATAGATGGCGTACAGAAGTGAATTTGAATTTAATCCACAGGCATTCTTTCATCCAGCATGCTTTACATGCTCGGAATGCGACGAGCTGCTTGTGGAACTCGCGTACTGCGCTTTGGATGGACGCCTCTTCTGTGTACGACACTATGGCGAGCGATTGAAGCCAAGGTGTCACGCTTGTGATGAGGTAAATATTCACTTATTACTTACTTATCATTTATTTAAGTTAATAAAGTTTCATTAAATATTCAACAATTTATATGAAATAGAATTAATTTAAAACAAAAACACATTAAATAAAAAAAACCTACTTCGCTTTTTTATGCTCATTTATTTAATATTAAGTTACTATATTTTTGAACATTTTATTCACTTTACACTGAAATTATGGTACCAGAAATTTAGGGCGCAACGTTACAAATATATGACACTTAATCAGTTATTCATATAATTTACATAGTAATGAAACGCGATGTTGTTTCGCGAACATTTCAATGCTCTGGCATACGTCTTTTATCATAAAGACTAAAGTATACTATAAAGTTAGTCTGTCATACAAATTATTACACCGAAAACACAGGAAATCCTCTTTAGAAGAATAAATACAAAATATATGTTCCAACTCTTAATTTCTTACAATATATGCTGCTAAGAAAGTAGCTATGACTGCGCCAAAATGGTTGTTAATTCTAAGTTTTTTTTTGTAATTATTTTACCAAAATGAAAGAAAACTTGTATTAATTTTTAAAATTTTATAACAATATATGGTTATTTAAAACTTAAAAGGTTATTCATTTTCTTTTCTCTGTCTTTTTCGAGTCTTTTTATAATCGAGCATTTTCTTCATATCATTTGAATTGACCAAGTTAGATACATACGAGTTCGTTTCATTATTAAATAGGTTTAGTGTTCGTTTTATTTGCAAAATCCTTTAATTCCCAAGTCCCAACTTTATCTATGTACCGTTCGCGCACCACGTGACCATGACCACGGTCACCAGCGAAAATCTACATACATATCTACACTAAATTATACATACCACGAACTGTACAACCACTCTGAAGCCGTGACCATTAAGAAATGGTCACTGCGACCATAGCCTTGGTCGCCGAATACTTATAGACTAGGTCAATTTTGTATTTACATGCCTTAATGGTCACACAATTGCTTAGCCGTCACTTTAGAAACAGAACAGTGTTACATCAGAGTTAGCCAGTTTTAGAACTGAATTACAATCACACGATTGAACTACTGCCAATTACTTGAGGTAACAAGTGATTCATGGTGATGAGTAATTATCATTAGCTAATGTTGCCCTTTTTAGTAAAGAAATATTCCATTTGTAAATAATACTATACACTCACTATACAGGCAACACTACATAGTATACAATCAACAACTAGTTCATCTATATAATGTATACTACACACAAACCTAAACAAAAAATTAAATTAAAGTATATAAGTATGTACGTATATGTAAGTATATCCACCAAAAAGTTTGTTAAATCAACTTTTTTTATATCTTTCAGCTCATAAAAAAGTCTCGAAATGAGTTTCAATTGAATTTCAAGTTTGAATAGCTGAATTCTATAGTTACCTACTTGCAGCATTCAATTCAACTATTAGCGAAATATTCGAATGAAAGAATTAAAACAAAATGAGATTCATTCACAGACCACACAATACAGTATTTAATTTTGAATGCATTAGCGCAGTGGATACAAATAAGAAAAGCAGTGGTAACGAGTTCGATCATCGTATACGGCAAGATCATTATCATTCGGCAGGCAGGGGTTTATGTGTTTCCAAACCTTCACAACCAGTCACACACAGTGCGCTATTGAATTTAATATCTAAATTTATTTACAAATAATAAGAAAATACAATATATACATACATACATTTAGCACATTATTAAGGCATGTCCACACCACGTTTCATAAACGTGTCAACAATGCGCGTATCATGCACTGATAAACTTAAAAAAAGGCAAATTGTAAAGCCCGCGACGACGATTTCTTAACGCACATCAACACCACGTTAAAACGTCTTAATGTACATAGGCCCTTACTCTTGTCGAAATACTAACATAATATGTTAACATCATTTAGTTTAAATTACTTCACGCACGTCTGTCCGTCTGTACGATCGCTACGATCATTTATCAAGTGGAGAAGTCAAACTTGCTAACACCTACACAAATTGAATATAACACATTATTTTTCTTATAAATAAATAAACAAATATTATTATTCAAAATACGTTATTCAATGGCCTAGAGTCTCGAATCTCTAATAATAGAGTCTACATCACTAGGGAATATAAGTACTTAAATATAATAATGGTCTTGATATAGACATGCCAGGTACATAAATAGCATGACTACGCTCGTGTTAGATATTACCTACATATGTATGTATGTATGTTCTCTTGTAACCTGTAACTAAATATTATAAATTAGGTAGCTAATTACTATATGTAGTTTCTATTCAGTGGTTATCAACATTGTAGTTTAGCAACAGTAGGTATACTTAATTATTATTATTCATATACATATCACGTTCGTGTGTTATGGTGACAAGAACATTGGTCGCGTTTCACAATGAAATCGAAATGCTGATTATTTTGGCGAAATAATTACTTTTTAACTTTAAAAAGTATATGAAAATAACCAGTTAAAAGTATTTATTTTTCCTTATTTATTACGGTTTACTTTGAAATTTAAGTGAGACCAGCCTTGAGGAGATTGACTATCTATCTTAGTTCGTTACGTACAAGACTCCTGTATGCTATATTTGGCCCGTCATGCTTTACGGCTGTGAATCTTAGACCATGAAAGATATCCGTAAAAAACTTGAGTCATTTGAAATCTGGGCGTCTCCGCCAAATGTTTCGAATAAGTTGACGGGTAAAGTCACCAACATCGAGGTTCTTGGATGGACAAAGAGAAATACGCTTATACTTCTTGTCACAATCTTCAAACAGAGAAAAGTTGTGTGCCTAGGAGATTTAGTAAGGCATAAAGGTTACAACTGCTTCAGACTATTAAGATGGACTTGCGGTTAACGGTTTACGGAGAACTGTTGGAAGAAGGAAGATGTCCTGGCTCTGCTGTTGCAATTGTTGTTAAACCCATTTTGTATTCAGCCCCTTTTTTTTGACGTCCCACTGCTGGGCACGGGCCTCCCTTCAATATGAGGGGGATCAGGCCATAGTCCACCACGCTGGCCAAGTGCGGGTTGGCGGACTTCACGTGTATTTCGAAAACTTGCTAGGTTCTCTCAGACATGCAGGTTTCCTCACGATGTTTTTCTTCACCGTAAGGCAAGTGGTAATCACGTTAGAAATGATTCGCACATGAAAATATCAGAGGTGCGAGACCCGGGATTTGAACCCGCATCACTCGGTTTCCCAAGCGAGCGCGTTACCACTGGGCTACCACTGCCTTAAACCCTTTTTATTCCGGTCTATTATAGGATGTTTCCTACAATAGACCGGAATAAAATAGGTTGAAGACCGGTTCTGGCTAGCCCTGATCAAACGAGAATTTAGAACAATTACTGCCTTCAGTAATATAGAGAACTTGATGAACAAGAACTCTTGATGCTTATGTCCTATCCTATCTATATTCTCTACGTTTCTATTTATAAATTTGAAAATTCAAAAATATATATTTATTTTCCATGGCCAGGTAGTAAAAAATACGAACTATTTATGCGTGACATTTAAATAAATTATTACAAAATTTAGTTAATTCGGTCCGAGCGGATTGACATTTACCATGGAATTCCACACCTACGAAGCTCATAAATTGGATATATAAAGGAACTACAAATAAATATTTACTTAATTAAAATAACTAAAAGCATAGTTGTTAAATAAAATTATTTTTATATTTATACATTAATATTCAAAAAACAAATTCAAAAACTAAAACCAGACAACTGAAAAATCACCCTCTAAAAAGTATGAAACAATAAAATATTCTCACCTAAAATTATTATGTAAATATACACAAACTTTTCAATATTTATCTATATATGAATATATCTCTTAAAATGCAGTTTATTCAGTTTTTTTTATGAAAATCCATGCACAATTATCGAAGATATCGCGTGACGTACAGACAAAAAATACAAACGAACTAAGTTCCCCGTTTCAAAGTCGGTCAAATAGCAATTAATTATGAAAGTGTAATTATCATTGTTCTGTTAAAGTCGAGTTTAAATTGAGGTACGGTTATAAGTGTCTGCGGATTTGTGCCACGTCGTATGACTAACCCCGATAGGTTAGGCTAGATTTAGACTACAGTGTAATGCATGCTTTTATTATTTTTCTTTTAATTTGTTTACTGTTTCTTTTACATATAATATATACGCTCACTGTTATGCCTTAATGTAAACTTAAGCTTAATTGTATTATCTCTTATTAAGTTTAATAACTCATCACACTACTTATAAATGCGAAAGTTTATATGTTTGTATGTTTGTTACTCTTTTTCGTTGAAACGGCTGGACGGATTTTGATGAAATTTAATTAACTTCCCTTTAAATTATTAAAATTAAATTTCCCTCTTCCTATAATCCTGGGTCGTTTAAACGGAGCGTGAAAAAGCACATTTGCAGGCCGACGAGGTGAGGTTGATCGGAATCGAGATCAAGTCCCGGGACCGATGGATCTCATTCTGGATTCCACTGTCGCTTACCATCAGGCGTCATGGAGTCATCTTGTCGAGCGACAATAAAAAAAAATAACATATTGACTATGACCTGGAGTAACAAATAGTCTAGTGTTACTAAAAAAATGCCTAAAGGTGGCGCTACCTGTATATATAAATATGTTAGGACATTACACAGCACCGCACAGATCCATGTTAAACTACGAGACTTGTGTTATGGATACCAGATAGTTGATACACTACACATATATAACTTTAAATACATACATATTATAAATATAAACACCCATGACTGGAGCACAAACATTCATGGTCATCACATAAATAAATGCCCCCAGCGGGACACGAACTCGCAACCGCTGGCACATCAAGTCTAGCACTATAAACTGAGCCAAACATGTTAAAAAATCGTTTAGGGAATACAAAATGCACCCGAGCGAAAGCAAAACGCTAGTAGGTATTAAAGATAATATAAATAAGAATAAGGAAAACCATACGAAATAATCGCTGAATCTTGTCAGCTTTGACTGTCCGCATTGAGTCGATCGCGGAAACGAGAAATGAAAATATCAAGGCGATGTCTTTCATCAGTATGTGATATCAATGGTAATGCGATGAGATTCCAATCGGTACATGTAATAGGCGCTTAACATGCCAACTTCTGTAAAACGATTCTGTGAAACTGAAGTTTATTGATTTACAATATATTAATATTGACTTTTCTTTAAGGTTTTCAATGTCGCTTCCTCCGTTATTTTTTTATTTATTGAAATGAAGGAAAAAATAATTTAACATATAAGCACATTTAAAAATAAATAATTTAAATATAAATAATTTAATATATCGTTATAAAAGTAAATTTTCGTCCTTACTAATGATTATAACATTTGGTCAAAAATTGCATCGATAATTCGATACGTTACTTCTTTGCTGTGTGAAAGGAAGACAAATCAGCAAACGCTAATTATATGCTGCTTATGATAAATATTATTTAAATATTTAAACTGCCTCGGTGGTGTAGTGGCTAGCATGCACGGCTGCACACCCGGAGGTCCTGGGTTCGAGTCCCGGGTCGGGCCAAGTTTAGTTATTGAGTCTTCCTGTATAGTAAGTCTCAGTAACAGCCCGGAGTTGGGAAGTTGGCGGTGTTTCATCCCCGTGCCTCGGAGAGCACGTAAAGCCGTCGGTCCTGCGCCTTAACTCTCACCGGTCGTGTCGAGTGGTCGTCCCACCGGAGTATGAGAGTGATAGGAATAGAGAGTGCACTTGTGTCTGCGCGTACACTTGAGCACTATAATATCTCCTGCGCAGTTGGCTAATCTCATTGAGATTGGCTGCCGTGGCCGGAATCGGCTAGGAGAACATCATCATCATGATAATTACTTATGATATTGGCTAGAATTGTTGTAATATCTACACAGAAACATATTAACTGATTAATTAAAATCTGACACTGACTGACTGACAGATTACGCACAATCTCAACAACCAAGGAGGGTCCAACAAAAAGAAATTTTGCACTAGAATTTCATAAATAACGATGGTGAGCTTTAAGGATATGTTTAAAAAAAAATCATCCCCTAAAGGGATTGAATAAGGGGTGAAAGTTTGTATGAAAAATCGTCATTTTTGATAGCTAGCCCGTCGTGCTTGTGCATTTAGTGTTATACTTATGTTTTTTTTAATAACACTTTATTTACCTATTATAAAGTTAATTTTTTATTTTTATCATCAACGCTCATGTGTATCAAAGATTTTCAAAATATGTTTTACGTGATGGATTTTATGACATGTAATGTTGACCAGTCGGTTTATCTCAATTTTAATTTTTAATCATGGCAATAAAATCGATTTAGAGCTGACAAAACCATTATATTAAATCGATTTCAAAGTAACTAAATATTATATGTAGTTCATTGGCAAAGGGTATATTTAAAAAAAAGTAAGTGAAGCTAATAAAAAAAAGCAGAATTGAGTACCGCTTTTTTTTTAAATCGGTTGAAAATATTATTTAATAATTCATATAGTAGTAATCACGATATAATTGAATATTTTCAAAACTATATTTTTTTTATATAGGGCCTATACGCAAAGGCCAGTACACAAAAATGTGTAACTTTTTAAGATCTACAATATGCCTTACAGATGACAATATTAATGCACCGCAACTGTTCATTCATGCGTGCAGCGTGGTGCGCATCTTAAATTATGGCATCTCGTTAATACACCGGCCAGTACAATTATTGCATAATTTGTCCGAATGTTGAAAACTTGTATAAGATTTAAGAGGTGATACTTTGTATCATTATTCCCTCCACGACCGCGGACATGCTGGCGTAAAGTTAACAATAGATTTCTTAGAAATTTTATTGATTTCTTAGAAATTTACCCGAAGATGTAATGATTTGACATCAACTTACTTAACTTGTAACCATAACAAATAGCCTATCACCTATGTCACTATCACCCATAAGCTGTGCTTCTCAGTAAAATGACATTGTATGATAAACGATTTTTAAGTAATTGTTTGGGTTTGGATTTTAGGCAATTATCCACATAACCTCAAAATGGGATAGCTAAATTGAAACCATACCTATACAGATTTTTTTAAATTATTTTATATATTTTATTGTTAGCTTTAATTTTATTTATAACTATTGACTATTAATTTGTATGTTTTTTAATTGTTTATTATTGTGTGTGTGTGTGTGTGTGTTTTTTTTTTTTTTGTGTACTGAACACTTGCAACTTAATAATAATTGTACATTTTCCTCGAAATGTTAAATTATATTCTCATTTCCATCAAAGTATTTAAATGAGGCCATTGTACTGTCATGGGAAAGCCACAAACTTTGTTTTATGAACTTTTGAAGGGTCCATGACTTTGAGATGACTTTTGACATCTAACCTTATTATAATCTAAGATATCGTACTATAATTAAAGATTTATTCAAAGTACATATATATCCATTTTATATGAATAAATTTGCTAACTCAAATATATCTTTGTAGTGGAGAAACCGCAAATGATCTACACCGGGCCATCTGAACCTCTATTATTACCGCTAAGTAAAGGACGTACTTTTGATTTCGTAATATTTATATGCACATACATAAATATGACTCATACTTGTAATTTGTAATTTTACCTTAAAAATAACCGTATTTAACCTAATGTTACTAGAATTCTGCAGTGTTTACACGATATTCGTTATGGAATAAATATAACACTCAACAGTACCAGCACTGTGCAGAATTGTTCACACCTTACCAGTAACTCGACCATTGCCTCGTCTGCTACACGCTTTTACGCGCTTTTGGAAATTCGCCATATTGGAATTTTGACATTTTACATTTTAAAATTTCCAGTCAATCGTTAAACTTG